ATATAAATTTTGATATATAATTTTAGAATATGCAAGTATTGTATATGTTTTTTACTGAACTGCAGTAAATAATATGGTTTTAAAAATTGCTGTGTGATTTCTAATGTGATCTTGTTTAGCAGCCATAATTATATTAAACAAACGTTTAAACCATATTTTAAGTGCAAGATCTGAACATTTTTCATGACTTAACCCCCATGTGTTATACAGGTGTCAGCAGCAGCTCGACCTTCTCTTTAATATTCTGTTTGATATTAAAGGGCCATCCAGGAGGAAGCAATGATGGAGAGAAATGATGGCAGCAGATGACAGCACCATTAATCAGAAGTCGAGACTGAAAGGTGCTGGCCTTGGCTCCGACATGAAACTCCAGAGCTCACGCGCTGACTTGCTGCTTATGGTGTGGCTATGCGCAACACTACGCCCCTCTCCTCTGCAAATGTCAGACTCATATCGTTGCCAGCACCACCTGTTGACTTTATTGATAATGTTTATTTGTTTCAGTGAGTGTGCCTCTGGCTTTATTAGCTGCACAAGTGGATTTTGTTGGTGTTCACTTTCTCTTCCTGCTCTTCAGCTGCATCTTTTTGTTTCCCAGTCAGCCCAGCTTTGTACCTGCTCCCTGCATGTTAATGAGAAGTGTTTGACCTGCTCTTTACACAGAAAGTGTGTTTAATTTTTCAATTAAGATAACTGAACAAAACCTGTCAACCTGTGCGCTTTTATTTTGAGGTGGGAGACATTACTGGTTTACGTCAATGGCAGGTATAAGTGGGGACAGTTGCAACAGTCAAAACCCTCGAAGCAAATTCTAATTTAGACTCGTCTTGATAATCAGGTAGATAGCAGGTACTCTCGAAAACATATCAAACTGATCAGGAAAGTGCTGCTCATAGGGGACTGAGCTACTGGTCGGGTTTTTTGCTCTAATATTTTAGGGTCTTTTTTTGAATTAGCCATATATAAATAAATTAAAATTGAACCGAACTAAAAACTCTTTGGTTAACTTAAAAGTATTTTTTAATTAGTTTTATGTTTTAATATTGTCCTCTATATGAATTTATCCAATATAACTTCTATCTATTGCCATTTTACTGACTTCTAAGGAACACCGTTACTGTAGCTTGTGTCAGACTTGTTGTGCCCACTAGGGCCAAGTGTTTTGTTATGGGTAATAGGGTGGGAATGGCTGGGATCACTATGCAGCTATGTCCAAATGCCACTACGTGTTTATGTCATTTCCTATAATGAACACAACAGGTAAATATACATTCACAGGGCACTTTGTTAGGTACACCCATCCAAGTGCTCCTAAACTCAAATAGCTAACCAACCAATCGCATGGAAGTACCTCAGTGGATTGAGTAGTAGTACCACACATGTGGAAATGGTCAAGATGACCTGCTGAAGTTCAAACCAATCCAGTGAATAGCAGTTGGTGACAATGTCAAGTTTTCAGAGGTCAGGGGTGAATCGCTAAAATGCTTTAAGCTCATGGTAAGGCAAAAGTAACTTTAAAAAAACCACTTGTTACAATCAAGGTATGCATAAGAGCATCTCTGAATGTGCATCATGTTGAACTTTGAAGAAAATGAGCTCCAGCAGCAGAAGACCATACCGAGTCCCACTCCCTTCAGCTAACAACAGGAAACTGAGGCTACAGTTCACAAGATCTCACCAAACAATAGAAGACTGAAAGACTTTCACCTGGTTCATGGTTCTTGACTTCTGCTGTGACATTCAGATCATAATCTCAGAATTTGGTGTAAACAACACAGAAGCAACCTGCCTCGCATCAATGATTCAGGCTGGTGGTGGTGGCGTAATCCATGAAGGGTATTTTCTTAGTACATTTTGGGCCTTTTAATACCAACCGAGCATTTTTTAAACACCACTGGTCACCTGAATATTGTTGCTGACCGTTCACCCCTTATGATCACAGTGTACCCATCTACTAATGACAGTTCCCAGCAGGATAATATACCATCTCACATACTGGGTTCTTGACCATGACAGTGAGTTCATTGTGCTCAGATGACCTCTACACTCACAGATCTCAGTCCTACAGAGCAATCCTGTCGATGTCCAGCCAACTAATCTGCAGCAACTGTGTGATGCTATCAAATCAATATGCCTGAGGAGTGCTACCAGCACCTGTTGGGAGTACATTATAACACAAAGAGAAGCTAATGATGAACAAAATGAAACAAAATGACTTGTTGCATCTGTTGGGTTACGTGACAAAATTGGCCCTTTTAGACTTTAATGGGGGGTTTTTTTCCAAAAACACAGGTTTATAATTCACATGCACTGCAGATGTGATAAAATCTGTTGTGAAAGAACAACAAAGCAGAAAAAAGGAGCACAAATCACACATATTTCCTTTTTTTTTCCACTCTCACTAAATTATAGAGACTGAATAGAATCTGCACACTGACTATTCTACACGTAAAGAAGAGTTAATAACTGCTATTCAGTAAATACGACCAAAGATAATAATGCTGTAATATGACTGGAGGCCTACAGCTAAATAATGCTACATATTGAAAAAGAGTACATGCTTTTGAAATACTGTGAAATGTGGTCTATTTTGCAGCTTGTCCTTAAGGCTGGGGTTCACTGCAGCATCTACATTTTCTTGTTTAAACTATTTCAAATGATCTTAAACATTTTCTTCATACAATTTGCTCTGTGGCTGTTTCATGAAGTTTTGGCTTGGTCCTTTAGTTTTGATAAAAGGAAAGTTGTAGAGTGTCTATAACTTTAAAGCAAGGGTTTTAAACTGGTAACTGACAAAATTGGCTAAAGACCATTTCCAGTTTAATGTGAAAGAACCTCTCTGGGCTGCCTGAAGCCTTGGCCTGAACTCAGTCTGAAACATGGATGAATGGAACATTGACTCTGTGAAACAGGCCACATCACTCAACATGAGGGCCGGGCAACACTCGTGCTCGTGTTGCTTTGAGACAGCTTAGCAGGCCGCTTCTGCTTCGTTCTGCGTGCTCGAAATAAATGCTCATGATTTTCGAAATGCTCAACACAACAATTCCCTTGCTTTGGGTTATTTGCTTTTGTGTGTCCAGTAGATGTTGAGAAACTTATTAAGTCTCCATTGTTGAGTACACAATCTGTGTGCAGCTCTGAGAGTTCAAGGACAGAAGCAGAAGAAAAAAAATCAATATAAACTAGCCTTAAAATTATGTTTTTGTGGCGTCACAAAATTGTTTTTCACATTAACTCCGTTTAGCACCGTTCCCTTGACCCTCAAGTTAAGAGCCAAATTTGCATTTCTGATCATATGCACACAATCCTCCGATTTACTACTGTTACTGTTTTTGTAACAGTAGTATTACTGTTTTTGATGGTCTTCCTTTCCAAAGCAAAGATATAAAAGCAGCAAGAACATGCAGTTATCTGTAATACACAAGCCTCTCTCAAGTTCAACAATACATTCGTTTGAATATTAATTTGAAAAATCATAAAGAGGTCACAAAGCCAGCAGCACTTGCAGCAAGTAAAACAACTTTATTGTTGGACCAAAGCATTTATTGGCTTTGCTGAAGTCGCACTGGAAGCAGGTGAACCCCTTCTTCAGTTAAAAAAACCACGGCTTTTATTTTGCTATTGGAACATCCTCTATTAAATTGTATTTGTAAACTGCTCACCTTTTTAGTGTTGTGTGAAAGCATGAGTATCCTGTTCGAGCAAGTGCTGCACAAATAGCAGAGCCCATCCTCAGCAAGCCGCAAATCCAATTCTGTCTCCAGCTGAGACTCATGAGAGCCTCGATAGCTCTGTTTAAGCTACTGATAATATAAATCTGGTAAATGATGTTACATCATAGTTTTGTTTTTCTTTTTTCTTGTAGGGGCAAAAATGTCAGGTAAATAAAGTGACCAATTTTTTATACTAAAAATAAAAAATGCCATGCACTCATACTTCCCAGGGTTATTGAGATATTTCCTGCTATTTCATTTGTCATTGTAACATCTGCATATTTCAATGATGAACTGTAATCAGAACACATCCCCTTGAGCATTGTGAAACAGTAATGGTAATACAAATTCCTAGAAGATGACAGATATTCAGCTACAACATGCCTGCTTCTAAGAAAGATTATGATTGAAAGTCCTCATGTCACCAGCTTGTGTGTCTGCCGTCAGATCTCAAAAGACGATTATAAGGTAGTGACTTGGTTTTGTTTGGTATATTTAACTTTTTTGTTATCTGAAAAAAAACCCTCTTAAATGTATTTTCCTGGAAACAGGAAACATACAGGTAATCTCTCCTGGCAATTCTGTGCCAGGGACCACATAAAGCTCTGCCATTGTGCACCCTCTATTAAAACCAGAAAGCAATCTACCACAGTTTGTCTTTTGTTGCTGCTCCTTACCAAAGGGGATTATGGCTTTCCTTTTAAAAATAAAAGGTTTGTATTCAACAGATAATGTCAGAAGATATGAGATGGCTGGTCAATGTCAGTTTAATGGACAAATGTCTTTCTGTTTCTCTCGGTTTAGTCCCTCAGATCCTACAGAGAAGTCACTCTTACACATACAAACACCATGGGGAGAATTTTTATGCATGTTCTGATATACAGTACACTCTTTTGTCTTATATATCCAGACACCTTAAAATGACACCTTTGCGCTATTTTTTTTTTTTTACTGCACTGAGTCTCTCCAAGGGTTCAGAATAAGACTCATACCACAGAAGTTTTTTTGTTTTGTTTTTTATTTGCATTCTCAAGATGTTTCCAACTACTCATTAGCACCGAAATATGTGAATTAGTTTACAAATACAGACTAGGTAAGGCAGATGAAAAATATTAACTTCTACAGTACATATGTATAGTACAGTAGAAGTCTTGTGCCACCCTTCATTTTGCCATATTTATTTAAATAGGTGAAGGGATTTATTGAAACATGTTACAACCAAATATATGTTGCATAGTTCCAGTTGACTTGGAATGCAATATTTGATATTACTGCCATTAATCTTCAACACAGCCTGAATTCTTATGAGCAAGGTTTCTTGCCATTTCTTTAGGTAGTCTTCGAGAATAGCTCTCCAGGCTTTTTGAAGGACATTCAAAGCTCTTCTTTGGATGTTGGCTTCCTTTTCCTCAGCTCTCTGTCAAAATGATCACACATTGCTTCAATAAGATTGAGGTCTGTGTTTCAGGAAGGCCAGTGCATACCTGATAATGTTCTATTTTGTGTTTCTCTATCCAGATATGCATTTGAAGTGTGTTTAAGGTCACTGTCATGCTAAAAAAAACAACTGTTTCCAATCAGATGCTTTTCAGATGGTATTGCATGGTGGATCAAAATCTGATGGTACTTTTCTGCATTCGTAATTCAGTCAGTTCAGTTTTGAAAAGATAAAAAAACACAGGCTAAAAACAAAGACCCAAACCATAACAGAGCTTCCACCATGTTTTAGAGATGGCTGTACTGTTTGCCTATTTCCTGAAATCCTTTGTATATACAGATGATCATTTGAGCAACAATTTTTACATTTTGATTCATTACTCCATCATATCTGTTGTCACCAATTTCCAGTCTAGTTCTTGTGTAATTTAGCATACCTCTGGCTTTACAGCCATCCATCCACTGAGGCCGTTTCTAATGAGCCTTCAGCTAACAGTAGATGGATCAACTGAAAGGCTAGATGCATCTCACAGATTCTGTCAGATCCATCTATTCTCTGCTGCTCATCCTTATCAGGGTTGCAGGGGTAGCTCCCATAGGACTGGTGCAGGGCACACCCTGGCCAGTTATGGATATGCCAAGTTTTCAGCTAGTAGCTGTTTGGGAATCACCTTGTTGATGCAAAAAGTACTATTTAATGCATCCCACACTGTGTCATCTTTGGCAGTTTTCATGAATTGAGCTCATGAAATGGGAAAAAAGATGTGTTTTTGTAACAATCTGACAGTAAAAAAAAAAGTGCATTCCCCTTTTTCTTTTGGGTGCTTGCTTTACTGGTCGCCACAGCAGATCATCTGCCTCCATCTTCCCTAGTCCCATTCTGTCACACCTCATATCCTCTTTCCCTACATCCATGTTTTTGTTTTTTGTTTCTTTCTTTCTTTCTTTCTTTCTTTTTACATTTCCTTTCTTTCATTCTGACTTTTTTTGTTACTATGGTCTTCCTCTTTTCCTCCTTTCTGATAGCTTCATGCTCAACATCCTTTGTTCACTGTATCCACTGAACAAAGGGTGCACATGTCCAAAAAAAAAATTTCTGCCTTGCCTCTCTAACTGTCTGTAAATCACTCAACCTGAGCTGTCTCTCTGATGTACTCATTTCTAATCTTATCCATTCTGGTCACTGCCAGTGAAATATTAACATCTTCAGCTCTGCCACCTCCAGCTCTGCCTCCTGTCTTTTTGTCAGTGCCACCATCTCCAAACCATACATCACAGAAGGTGCCTGAAGAAACACTTTAAAACTGATTCTTTGTTGTCTGTTAATATTTGTGTCATTTGAGGTAGGTGTCTTCATTATGCTTGAATGATTTGTAGATCAGTGTTAAGTGGCTTAACAACCAAAATAGATTCCTCTGAAATGTGTCAGGTATAAAGACTGGACTGAAAAAACAAAAAAAAACAGCCAATGTCCAAATGAAAATTTTGAAATACCTTCAGAAAGTCTGGAGAACGATTGCTCAAGATCATGGTCACTCTTTTAAAGAATCCTCACATATTGGAAGCAATGGAAACTATAAAGAAATGAGTGATGGCTCAAGAGTTTTGCACGGCACTGTACACACTACTCCCCTTTACATTGTATTAAAAATTCCCTTTTACCTTTTTAAAAACTGAATTGAACACCTTTATTGTTATTAAATGAATACAACAAAATTGATATCTCCCTAGAGCGCACAGTAGTTCATTAACAAATAAAACAAATAAGGAATTTCATGTCTTTTGTGTTATTTTGTTTAATTGTGTCTTTAAGTTTGTGCAAACCTGTGCGGAGTATCAATAAGATCAATTTTCTTGCCTTTAAATATGGGAGGAAAAAAATTAAACCATGTGCAACGGTGCCCTCTTGTGGTCTCATGTTTGAACAGCACCCTCCCTTGTATGTTGATTTAAGAGAAGTCCCGCCCCTGAGCACCATCATAACCAATCACTACTCAGATGTTGAGTTGAAGCTTTCAAGCTTTGGGTGCGTATGTTAAAAATATGCTCCTCACTATTGACTGTCAGGTTTTCACTGGTCGCAACAAACGCCTTTGTTCAACCACTGAGTTTAGGCTAGGGTGGAAAGCGTTATCATTGTCGTCAGTATCACCTTTTAAAAATGGCCAAGTTATGCACGACGTGGTTAGAAGAGAATAAAATGCCTGAAGTATAAGCTCAGGGCTAATATTTCCCCATTTAGTTCGCCTCGAGTAACTGTTCTTCCAGCTAAATCAGTGCCACGTTCCTCCAACGTCCAAGGTTGATAATTAGCCCTATAATTATCAGAAAATTCAGCTTTTCTTTTTATTGGAGAAATGAGTGTAGCAGTGTAACTGCGTCGGAATTAACCTGTCAACATAATGTAGCTGAAAGTGGTCGGAGTGTGGGTTTTTATTTGCTTTAACTAGAGAATAAGGAGTTAGTGATAGTAACGATAACTAAGTTCTAAAACTGGCCGTGACTACTGTAGAACTAGCTTACATTTACTAACGGTTTACTCTCAACGTTACTCTAACAGCGACGAACCGTGAAGTGAGCTGTTTAACCGTTTTCTAAAACCCCCAGAACCCTGTTTACTGATGGCGGTTTGTTGTGGTGTGTGTGCCATGGTGACACAGGGGTGGGTCTTTTCTCCTCTTTAGTTTTGCTGTTTTCAAGGCAACCGACCCATGCTGTGAAATCTGCCCATCATGAAATCCCTCAAGTCTTCTTGGTCATCTCATCTCCAGTATCGACCCATTACTGTGTTTGTACGAGGTAAGTTTTAATGTAATGTAATGCTGTTAGATTTCTTCACAACGGTGGTTCTTGCTCTGTGGCTCCCACAGCCCACCAGACTGGCTGGTAGTACTTGGTTGTTTGTATATCTGAACAAGTTTTTTCTTTATAGTACTGGAAGTCCTTGTTGTAAAGCAGAGGTGGTTAGGGGGGAAAGGATATTGATGCTGCCTGAAACTGTGGATCAAAGGAAGACTGTAGATTTCTTACCTGGCTTTCCCAAGGCACGAAGTTATGTTTTTACAGTATCTCTACAGAATCAGCTCCTTTTGGCAGCACTGATATTTGGGATACAATGAACAGCAAAGTGGGGTGATTCCATGCAAAATCAGTTGCTCCTCCCAGTTGAATTCTCACGATTAGCTGTTGTTTTTAACATCCACTAGAAGTGTCACCGCCTGAACCCAAACTTTAGTTGTTGTTTTTTTTCTTTAACTGAAGTTTAACCTTAATGTCATGGAATATATGATAGTGTTAATACTGAAAGTGCGTTCATTTAGTCTCATTGACATAGAGTAACAGAAACAAGGATTGGTACACTGGATGTTGTATCTTTTTATCTGATAATTCAATCGTGGAAATTTTAAAAATATATTTTGGGTAAACTTCCATAGATCATATCACCATGTGCACGGTGGCTGGTTCAAACATGTTTCATTTTTGCCTAGATTTTTAGTGCAGGATTACGTTCTTGCTGTGTTTAGGCAATAGCAAATTCTTTGTTAGGTATATAAAGCCATAATCATGGTTAGGGTTCAAATACACCAATTGACTTTTCATTCAGAGCTCTGTTTTCCAGTTTGCCATGGTGACATGCCCCCTCTTTGTCCTCTCTCTGTCCCCTCTTTTGAATGAAAGAAGTGTTGATGCCGTGAAGTATACTTCCTATTGTTTGCTCGGAGGCCAGGCTGGAAGAAACCAATAAAAAAGGCAGTGGTTCCTCTCTGACCTCTTAGTACCATCTGCACCAGTATGTGCTTTAAGTTCTTTGGGGAGAGGTCTTTTGTCTGTTCCTGGGGTCAGACTGAAAACTAAAGAGGACAGAGCATTTTTTTTAATCAAGGCTATGAAATCAGTTGGTTCATTCAGTTCTTTTAAGTCACATTTCAAAATATACTTGTATAAGAAAAGCCTTACCTGGTTTTACTTGATCTTAAGTCCCTTAACATTTGAATTCTGTAATTATTGCTGTTATTATTATTAACATATACTGCTATACAGCTATACTGTACTGTGATTTCTTAACAGTTGGTTTTTAGCACTGCATATTATTATCATTTTGCAAACCTTAGAGACACTGAACAACAAGTTAACAGCACTACTGGGGTGATGTGGCTTAGGCTGTAGAGTGGGCCGTCTACTAATTGGAAGGTCAGTTGTTCGCTCCGGGGCTATTCCAGTCTGCATCTTGAAGTGTCCTTGAATCCCAAATTATGCACTCCTTTCAGAGTGTGTGTGTGATAAAAGTGTTTCAGTCTGTTCATGGGTTTAGCTTGTAGTGTAAAAAAGCCCTAAAAAAAGTGTTTAGTAAGTGTAGATGAAAATTATACATGCACCAGTCTATTTACCCTTTTGTTCTGCCAGAGGAAGCTGAAAATGTTGTTAGTATGTCAATATTATTGAACTCAGAGTCCGCTGGGAGTATGAAGTAAGAAGGTGCATAAAGATGGAAAACATTGTAACGTACAGGTTACGTGCAGGTAAGGCAGAGTATTGAGTCTGGATAGTCAAAAGCACATGGTCAAAATTAGGTCCAGACTTGTTGCCAGTTCTGCCAAAAGAAATCGCCTTTTTGCTTACAAAAGTTGCCAATGTTTTGCTCAATGAATGACAGCGTATTTTGACACTGCACAATTTAGTCAATTAGTCAACAGTCATTGTGGGCAGTGTATTATAATCTCATAGGAAGAAGTTTCCTAGTTCAAATCCCAGCTGGTGTCCTTCTGCGTAGAGTTTGCCTGTTTTCCCTGCCTTTTTGAATTTCCTCTTGGTACTTTTGCTTCTTCCTACAGTCCAAAGACATGCTTTGGTTAGGTTAATTAGCAATTTTAAAGCACTGAATGAATGTATTGTTAAATATGGCTTGTAGTCTAAAGTCCAATGCCAGAGCATTCCAGTTCAGTAGTATTTAAAATAACAGTAAAAATATTAAATCACTCTCTTGAGCGGCTCCTTCTGCATATTCATCCTGTGTCCTCAGTGCTCCCTGTGCCTCCTAAGGAGATTAGCTGCCATATCTTATTCACTAGGCGTTCCTAAACAGATCGGTGCTCTGTGGGGCAGCTCCACCTACACTTCTGTTCACTGTGTGCTCAAAATTCAGCAAGTGTCACTCTGTGAAAACATATATATTCCCTGTTGATTTTATGACAGCTTTTCTTCTTCTGTTCTCTCCTCTTCCTCCGTATCATCTATCCTTTTTTTCTCTCACGCTGTCATTCCTCATCTCTGTCCTTCCCGAACATCCAGCTTACCTGTGCATCATACATGTATTCTTGGCTTGCCTCACCATCTGGTTGTGATTAGTTTGTCTGTAGCACCGAGTTTTTTCAGTCTCGTGTTCTGCATGATGATTATTGTCTCTTTACAATCGGTGAAGCCCCCTGTCAGGGATTTAGAGCAGCTTACCCCCCCCCCCCCCCCCCCAAATCTGGCAGCTGAGTTAAATACTTAGTTCTCCTGGGCATGAACATGGAGTTATGAGCAGAGTAACAGGTGAGTTCTTTTTGTGCTTCTTTTTCCTCACCAAAATGAAGCTCCTATAGATACAGATAATGTAAAAGCTTCTGAATTTAGGAATTACATTTTATGCTGTCTTACCTCATTTTAATTTTATTATTATTTCCTCCCATTACATGGATAATTATCCTGGAAGCTCTGTATCTTTTTAGTTTACTTTTCTGGACTGACTGCATGATTAGTTGAATTATTAAAATTCATAATAATTGTATTTCGACCTCAGTCCTCTGTAGGAAATGTGTTCTTTTAATAATATTCCCCACCTTCTTTTTCTCCAAAATGGTTGTAACTAAAGATCTTTATCTGTTCATCGTCTCTCTACTGACATTTGTGATGAGGTAGCAGGTAAAGTTTTTCTGATGATTCTTTCATGTAGAACCTTTTTGTACATAAATGCTGCATGAAAGGAGAGCTGTTGCTACTGTGTCAGCTAAACCGTCCTCCAAGCACTTTGCAGTCACATCAGGGTTTTTGCTTTAT